CCGGACCCTGCATTCACTATATCCGCTCTCCCCGGACCCTGCATTCACTATATAAGGTCCCCCAGGACCCTGCATTCACTATATCTTGTCTCCCCGGACCCTGCATTCACTATATCCGCTCTCCCCGGACCCTGCATTCACTATATCTGGTCTCCCCGGACCCTGCATTCACTATATAAGGTCCCCCAGGACCCCGCATTCACTATATCTGGTCTCCCCGGACCCTGCATTCACTATATCCGCTCTCCCCGGACCCTGCATTCACTATATCTGGTCTCCCAGGACCCTGCATTCACTATATAAGGTCCCCCAGGACCCTGCATTCACTATATCTTCTCTCCCCGGACCCTTCATTCACTATATCTGGTCTCCCCAGACCCTGCATTCATTTACATATGTGGGCGTGGCCTATGTATGCATTTATAACTACTCGCGAGCATGGGGGGGACGGGGGCACTTTATTTTTTCTATCCCTCTGTGGCCAGATTTAGAAACTTTAGGCCCCTTTCACACGGGCATTCCGTATGGCCGTTTTTCATCTGTCCGTTTACAGATGAAAAACGGACACCCATGTATTTCTATGGACTTGCGGATGTAAACGGATGATCATCTGTTTACATCAGTTAATGTCCGCATTCGTTAACCCCTCGCCCTCCAGAGGATTTGCCCCCCTTCCTGACCAGGTAATTTTTTGCGTTACGGTGCTGCGTCACTTTAACCGACAATTGCGCGGTCATGCAGCGCTGCACCCACATGAAATTTACGTCCCTTTTTTCCCACAAATGGAGCTTTCTTTTGGTGGTATTTGATCACCTGTGTGGATTTTTATTTTTGCGCTATAAAAAAAAAAAGTCTGACAATTTTGAGAAAAAAACAATATTTTTGACTTTTTGCTATTAACCATTAGCCACCCGGCCTATAGCTGTTTGGCGGCGGCAAAAATGCTGTAGCTTTCCGGGTGCACGCCATTTGGCGTGCTCCTGCACATGCGCAGTTCGCCCGGTTGCAGAGCCACGCAGCGGTGCGATCTGTCACCGACCGTGTACCTCGGACACGGCCGATGACAGATCTGAGTACCGGCCCCCGTTGCCGGTACCATGTGACCTGCTGTGACCAATCACAGCAGGTCACATGACAGTTGTATACAATGGATGGCTTCATTCATGCCATCCATTGTATACTAGTGCCTAGCTGTGAATGGTCACAGCAGGTCACATGCACATGTCATGTGATTAGCTGTGGCCAAATCACAGCTAAGCACAAAAAAAAAAAAAAAAAACCTGAATGAATCGATTTCATTCAGGTAAATGCTTGCTTGTAGCAAAGTAATTCTTTGCTATAAGCAAATTGTGTAAAAAAAAAAAAAAAATACTGATCACTTCCCCAAAGTAGTACAATGTTACTATGGTAACATTGTACTACTTTGGTCATAGTAAAATATGAAAAGAAAAATCTTAAAAAAAATTAAAAAAAATGTAATACAAAATTAAGAATAATAAAAAAATACAAAAAAAAAATATATATATATATATATATAATTTTTTTTTCATACTGTCACCAGTCAGTGTCCCTGTTCACCGCCATGCCAGTTATATGATGACGCTGTACTGCACTGGTGACAGTATGTAAAAAAAAAAAAAGTGAAAATTTTAATTTTTTAATTTTCCAAAAAAAATTATGACAAAAAAAATACAACTTCAAAAAACTTGCCATTCCTCTTATGAAGTACGTCGGACTGTCTACTCTGCAAAAAGGGGTCATTTGGGGGATATCTGTACTGTTCTGACATTCTTGGACCTCAAGAAATTAGATTGGCTGTCAGTACTTCAGGATTGATCAATTTTCAGATCTATACCATAGTTTGTGAATTCTATAACTTTCCTACAAACTAAATAATACATCCTAATTTGGGTTATTTTCACCAAAGACATGTAGCAGAATACATCTCGGCCTAAATTTATGAAGAACAATTATTTATCTGTAAACTTTTATAACAGAAACAAAGAAAAACGTGTTTTTTTCACAATTGTTGGTCTTTTTTTGTTAATTTAGCAAAAAACAAAAACCCCAGCAGTGATTAAATGCCACCAAAAGAAAGCTCTAGTTGTGTGAAGAAAATGATAAAATTTTAGTTTGGGTACAATGTTGTATGACCGCGCAATTGTCATTCAAAGTGTGAGAGCGCTGAAACCTGAAAAATGGCCTGGGCAGGAAGGGGGAAAATTGCACGGTATTGAAACGGTTAAACATGTCCAGTAAAAAAAAAATTAAAAATCAAAATTTCGTCATAAATTTAGACCAAAATGTATTCTGCTCCATGTCTTTGCTAAAAATAAAATCCCAATACGTGTAAATTAAATTGGTTTATGTGAAAGTTATAGCGTCTACAATTGGCGGTATAGAAACTGGAATAGTTTTTTTTTACTACTAATGGCAAAGATCAGCGAATTATTGCTGGACTGCGGTAGGCATTTTGACACTGGGGGGAACTGACTTGGTGTCACTGACATCCCCGGTGACACCAATACAGTGATCAGTGCTAAAAACAGCACTGACACTGTATTAATGGCACTGGGCAGGAAGGGGTTAACATGAGGGGCGATCAAAGGGTTAACTGTGTGCAGCGTGTGTTTTACCAGGAGGCGGTGTCTGTGTGCTTCACTGTGTGCACAGCCACCCAGAGCAGTGTGCCCGAGCCGACAGGGAGGAGGACTGTTAATATACAAAGCAGCCCTCCTCTCTGTTGGAGATCCTCGATAATCATCGGGCGCTGGCAGGTAATCACCGGCTGGGACCCGATGATTGACAGGTGCGGCCGCGAATGGTGGCAGGGGTTGGGCTTGTGCGCGCCCCCTACCCAGGAATACAAAACTACATGAAAAGATAGAATCAAATATTTACAAAAATGTGAGGGTGGACTCACTTCTGTGAGATACTGTATATGTATATGTATATATGTGATTTTGTGCACCCCTGCTGCTGCTGCCCTGTAGCAGTATTTCTGCTGTAGGGCGGCAGGGATGTGGTTAATATCTCTTCTTTTGAACGGAAGAAAGACCTATTTTTCTTTCGTAAAAAACCCTGACCCAGCTGAAAACGGATGAAAACCAGACATAAACGGATGTAAAATGGATGAAAAAACTGATGAAAAACAGATGTAAGCTGATTGGAAAAAAAAAAAATTGACTGAATTGATAAAAAAAACATAACGCCCGTGTGAAAGGGGCCTTAGATTGTACGCTCCTTGAGGTTGGGGGCTGATATGACGATACAATATATATGTAAAGTACTGCGTACATTGTTGGTGCTACATAAATACCTGAAATAAATAAATAACCAATAACTCCTAGATTGTAAGCCCTAACGAGCCGGGCCCTCTGTTTCCTCCAAATTGTATTGTAACTGTAATGTCTGCCTTCATTTTATAAAGTGCTGCGCAAACTGTTGTCACTATATAAATCCTGTATAATAGTAATAACTCAATCCCACACTAACAATTCACTAGACAGGTGAACACACGGAAAATGACAGACAAAGCAATATGGCCACCAACAAAATGAAAGTAACTGACTTGGAAAGTCCCCAAGCCTTAAGAGCTCGTTCATGCTTTTTTATTTCAGGTACTTATATAGCGCAATCAATTACGCCGCACTTTACATATATATTGTACATTCACATCAGTCCCTAACCCTCAAGGGGCGTACAATCTAAGGTCCCTAACTCACATTCATACATACACATACTAGGGACAATTTAGACAGGAGCCAATTCACCTACCAGCATGTCTTTGGAGTGTAGGAGGAAACCGAAGTATCCGGAGGAAACCCACACAGGCACAGGGAGAACATGCAAACTCCAGGCAGGTGGTGCCGTGGTCGGGATTCAAACCAATGACCCTAGTACTGCCAGGCGGAAGTGCTAACCATTTAGCCACTGTGCTGCCCACACTTGACTAACTTCTAAGGCTCTATGCACACTGGGCGTTTTAATAAGTCCTCATGCACATTATCCTGTGTGTCCATCCCCGGCGTGTTATCCTATGTGTCCATCCCCGGCGTGTTCTCCTGTGTGTCCATCCCCGGCATGTTATCCTGTGTGTCCATCCCCGGCGTGTTCTCCTATGTGTCCATCCCCGGCGTGTTATCCTATGTGTCCATCCCCGGCGTGTTATCCTATGTGTCCATCCCCGGCGTGTTATCCTATGTGTCCATCCCCGGCGTGTTATCCTGTGTGTCCATCCCCGGCGTGTTATCCTGTGTGTCCATCCCCGGCATGCTATCCTATGTGTCCATACACACATAGACTGGAATCAAAATTTTTTGGCTGGAAAAAACCCCCAGAACTAGTGGGCTTCTAGAGTTTTTTTTTTTCAAAAATGCTAAAAAAATGCAAACTTGGAAAAATGCTGCTAATCGTGGAAACATGCTGCTAAAAGCTAATGCAAAAATGCTAAAAAAGCTGAAAAACTCATGTTTTTAACGTGACTTTACACAGCTAACGTTACCAGCGTTATTAAAACGCCCCGTGTGTATGAGGGCTAATGCTGGTAACGTTAGCTGTTAGCTGTGTAAAGTCACATTAAAAAGGTGAGTTTTTCAGCTTTTTTTTTAGTGTTTTTGCATTAGCATTTAGCTGCGTTTTTCAGCGTTAGAGCATTTTTACAGCTAAAAAACGAATCTAGAAACCCATTAGTTCTGGGAGTTTTTTTCCAGCCAAAAAACGCTGATTCCAGTCTATGTGTGTATGGACACATAGGATAACATGCTGGGGGGTTTACTGGCTGTAAAAAAAAAGTCAAAAGCCAAAAACAGCCGCTGTAAAAACATCCCGTGTGCATGAGGACTAACTCTTGCCAAATGCCCCATAGCGTTTGACAGGTGTTTAGATAGGCGCTTGGGAAGCGTTTTTAACGCTCCTCAAACGCTTCCCAAATGCCCTATGCGCGTTTTTGATAGGCATTTTCCAAGCGTTAGAACCACACCACAAATAGACTTGAATGGGAGGCTTCGACTCCTCCACACTCCAACGCAAGTGTGAACTTAGCCTACATTGTTACTTAACCCCAGACCCTGCATTCACTATATCTGGTCTCCCCGGACCCCGCATTCACTATATCCGCTCTCCCCGGACCCTGCATTCACTATATCCGGTCTCCCCGGACCCTGCATTCACTATATCTGGTTTCCCCGGACCCTGCATTCACCCGGGACCCTGCATTCACTATATCTGGTCTCCCCGGACCCCGCATTCACTATATACGGTCTCCCCGGACCCTGCATTCACTATATCCAGTCTCCACGGACCCCGCATTCACTATATCCGCTCTCCCCGGACCCCGCATTCACTATATCCGGTCTCCCCGGACCCTGAATTCACTATATCCGGTCTCCCCGGACCCCCGCATTCACTATATCCGCTCTCCCCGGACCCTGCATTCACTATATCCGCTCTCCCCGGACCCCGCATTCACTATATCCGCTCTCCCCAGACCCTGCATTCACTATATCCGGTCTCCCCGGACCCCGCATTCACTATATCCGCTCTCCCAGGACCCTGCATTCACTATATCCGGTCTCCCAGGACCCCGCATTCACTATATCCGGTCTCCCCGGACCCTGCAGTCACTATATCTGCGCCAATTTTGCCGTGAAGCGATGCTAACGCTTCATTGTGAACATCACTGCGTGTTGTCATGTGTAGAGTTTTCATAGGCGTTTGAGGAGTGCTAAAAAAGCTTCCCAAATGCCTGCCTAAAGCCTGCTAACGAAGCTAGTGTGATAATAAAAAAAGGAACAAACAGTTGAAACGGAAGGAGACGTGGATCTATACATTGAAACAAGGATATAGTTTAGAGATGGGGGGGGGAAGAAAGTGGGGATGAAGGGGTTAAGTTTGGCCTGTAAATACAAAGGCGGTGAAGGGGAAGGGGGGACGAGGCAGGTATGGAATTATCCGTACTTACCCAGAGGGGACATAAAGGAGAGGATTTTGTAGATTGTCGAGGGAATCATGCTGACAAAGGCCTCGATGTCTCTGTTCTAATTATAGAGATCAGATGCCGTGCTGGGAGATCGCAGCGAATGAACGAACGACCCTCTGCCCCTCGCTGTGCCTTGTCACCCCCTCTAATACAACATTCACCCTCCCTAGTGCAGCATGTACCCCCTTCTGCCCCTCCGCTCACAGATCCTCTGCTCACTGCAATGAGAGCTGTGCTTGCGACTCTTTCACTTTCACTTTCCTGAAAGCTGGCAGTTTACTGTATATCACAACACGCAGGACTTGTCCAACTGCCGCTGTGTATGCCTGAGCCTCCAGGGGGTGACTAGGCCAACAGGCAGCCTCCTAGCTGCAGGCGGACTACTAATCCCAGCAAGCCCTAAGGGCCTACTACTATTATTATTATTATTATTATACAGTATTTATATAGCGCCAACAGTTTGCTCAGCGCTGTACATTACAAACTACTAAAGCTAGACGGGTAGAATTTTCAAAGGAAATTTCCCAGAAAAAGAACGCTCTAAGAAAGTTTTGTTAATTTTTTCTAAAGTTTTGTTCATTTTTCTAAAAAAAAATTCTAAAACTGACCCCCATTTCTAGTTAACCCTTTGCCCTCCTGAGGATTTACCCCCCTACCTGAAGGGGCCATTTTTTTTGCAATACGGAGCTGCATTACTTTAACTGGCAATTGCATGGTCGCGCAACACTGCTCCCGAATGAAATGTACTGCCTTTTTGTTCCCCACAAATTGAGCTTTCTTTCGGTGGTATTTGATTGCCTGTGCATTTTTAATTTTTTGTGCTATAAAAAAAAAAAAACAATTTTGAGAAAAAAAAAAAACACTGGCAATTTTGAGAAGAAAAAACTATATTTTTTTTTTACTTTTTGCTATTAAACATGTCCAGTAAAAAAAATGCTAAAAATCAAATTTCATCATAAATTTAGGCCAAAATGTATTCTGCTCCATGTCTTTGCTAAAAAAAATCCCAATACGTGTAAATTAATTGGTTTACGTGAAAGTCACAGCGTTTACAAATGGTATAGATACTGGGATTATAGCAGGACTGCGGAGGGCATTCTGACACTGGGGGGGATCTGACTTGCTGTCACTGACATCCCCAGTGACACTACTACAGTGATATGTGCTAAAAAAAAACACTGTACACTGTACTAATGGCACTGGTCAGAAAGGGGTTAGCATGAGGGGTGATCAAAGGGTTAACTGTGTGCTGGGTGTGTTGGTGCTTCCAGCCATCCAGAGCAGTGTGCCCGCGTCGACATGGAAAAGGTCTGTTAGCAAACAAAACAGTTCTCCTCCCGTTGATGATCGTTGGAAATCACTAGGCGCCGGCAATTAATCACCGGCCAGGACCTGGTGATTGACAGCCGCGGCCGCGAATTGAGGCGCGTGTACAGCTACCAGAAAATGCTAAATCACTTATATATACGTAATTTTGTGCACGCTTCAATGCATAAATTGCGTCCTGTGGACTTCAGTACAAAAACGCCCTCTATTTACTTCAATGAAAAATCACATCCCATTGACTTCAATGCAAAAATACCCCCTATTGACTTCAAAGCAAAATTGCGTCCTATTGACTGCAATGCAAAATCGCGTCCTATTGACTGCAATGCAAAATCGCATTCCCATTGACTTCAATGCAAAATCGCATTCCCATTGACTTTAATGAAAAATCGCATCCCATTGACTTCAATGCAAAAATACCCCCTATTGACTTCAAAGCAAAATCGCGTCCTATTGACTTCACTGCACAATCATGTCCCATTGATTTCAATGCAAAAACGCCCCCTATTGACTTCAATGCAAAAACACCTCTATTTAAGTTTTTTATTTTGATATATATTTCAATTTATTTTCTGTCCAGTTTTTGTGTGTTACTCTCAGTAAAAGGTATTTTATGTTACTGGATTGTATTTTTTAAATTCATATTCATTTAAATTCATGTTAATAATTAAAAAGTCGAATATAATACAATTATATACAAGAAAATATATATTTTTTAAAACTGTTTTTGGTTTTTGGAGCAGTGCATCCTGAATTTTCGGCTTCAGTCCAGAATTTTAATTTCAGTGCATCACTAACGATATTTGCGCGACGGTTTTTTTATCAAACACCAAATTTTTGGGAAAAAATACAAAGTAAAATATAAAAAATGATGTTATGCCGAGTAAATAGATACCAAACATGTCCCACTTTAAAATTGCATCCGTCCGTGGAACAGTGCCAAACTATGGTCCCTTTACAGGTTATCAGACATGGGTGTGCTGCTAAAATTATTTCCCTCACTCTGACGTTTGCAGTGATACCTCACATGTGTGGTGTGGCTGTCATTTACATACGTGTGCGGGACCTGTGTCTGAGTTTGCATTTGCGTGTGAGCTTGGGGGGACAGGGGAGCTTTACATTTTTTTATTCATTTAATTAAAAAAACATTTTTCACTGAATCTTTAACCTGTTGACACCGGCGGCACGCATATATGCGGCTCTGTTAAAACTACTTAACGTGCTAGGAGCGCACTTTCTGCACACTCCCAGCATGGTAGCCGGCGGTGATCGGTAAGTGGGCAATGCATACTTGCAAATGTGACCTTCCTGATCATGTAATCCGCTGTGACAGCCAATCACAGCGGTCACATGACCCAAAGACGCACCTCCCAGCTTTTAGAACCCTTAAAGGGCTGGGAGGCTGTCGGCACCAAGGGGTTACATTTTTAAATCTCTTTTATTGCTGTCACATGGGTTGAGCAACATCCCTTGTGATAGCATGGAACCTGACAGGCAGAGGCGTCCCTAGGGTTGGTGACACCCCCTCCGACGATCCCCGCAGAATGGATCGGATCTGTGGATTCAGCATAATGGATCGGACTTCGATCCATTATGCTCCCCAATCTGCAGATCCAATCCATCCTGAGGGGATCGTCGGCTTTCTTTACAACTTACCTTTTCGTGGAGCGGGTCTGGTGTCACCCCGTATAGGCTGCATGCCGACGATCCCCGCAGGATGGATCGGATCTGCGGATTGAGCATAATGGATCGGAGTCCGATACATTATGCTCCCCAATCCGCAGATCCCATCCATTCTGCGGGGATCGTCGGAATGCAACCTATACGGGGTGACAACGGACACGCTCCACGAAAAGGTAAGTTGTAAAGAAAGCCGATGATCCCCGCAGAATGGATGAGATCTGCGGATTGGGGAGCATAATGGATTGGACTCTGATCCAGTATGCTTAATCCGCAGATCTAAACCATCCTGCGGGGATCGTCGGATTGCTTTACAACTTACCTTTTCATGGAGCAGGTCCGGTGTCACCCCGTGCGGTAGGTGTCACCGGTGTGTCGCGAACCCCCCCCCCCACACCTGCCTCAAGACACCACTGCTGACAGGTCCTCTTTATGGAGAGACCTGGAGTCTATTAGACCTCATATCTCTCCTCTGGCCTCCAAAGCATCTGATCAAACCGAGATCAGATCCTTGGTCAAGCCGGTAATGGCTTGTTGAGACTGAAACCGGAAATGCCGAAGTCCTCGTTGCTTCTAGTTTCTGACACCACACAGTGGAAGGAACAACATCCATTCCTCCCACTGTGCCCCAGGAACTGGATGCCGCTGGTCGCATACTTTCAAGGCACTCTGATCACAGCAAAAGAGCCCAATAACGGCGATAGAGGGGGGGGGGGGCATCTCCTTCAGTAAAAAGGTAATCCAGCTGCTCTGTATCCTCTAGGATTACTTTAACGGTAAAGGGAAACGGAAAAAAAATTATTTCTCAACTATTGCACCTCTTCCTGTCTGAGGATCTATAAATGCGGATGGGAAGTGGTTAAGATCCATACTAGACCCACTTGGTGTGGTCCAAAATTTTGGGGAGACCCCATGCCATTTTTTTCTTCTTTTTTTACATTCACCTGTCAGCTGGGAATCCCCAAGCTGGAATGATCACTTATAGTAAGGACGCCCTGAGATGCTGTTTATCCTAGTATTGCACTATTGTTTTGTGATGTTTATTATGCTATGTATTATGGTATTGTGCTAGCTGCTATGTTTTTTTGTAACATCCAACAGAGCCCTAGCGTTTTTTTTTTCTTTTCATACTTACATCCGTACACCAGGACTGATCAATTTTCAGATATACACTATATTGGCAAAAGTATTGGTCGGCCAGGCTTTACACGTACATGGACTTTAATGGCCTCCCAGTCTTAGTCTGTAGGGTTCAATATTGAGTTGGCCCCGCCCTTTGCAGCTATAACAGCTTCAACTCTTCTGGGAAGGCCGTCCACAAGGTTACTGGACTCTTACTGAGTTGTCTACAAAATTTTGGCCAACCAAAAGTCAACGTTCTCATTGACAAGACCACTCATGTTCTTTGTGTGACCCCTATCGAACCTTGTAAGTACCATGTATTGTACTTGTATTGTAGATATAAACTCAGGGCTTGACTCAATGTCAGCCTGCCCAAAACTGGTATTTCAGTTACAGATGAATACTGGGGAAATGGTGGTTGTATGACTTGAATACTCCAGGTCCTCGCCTTCACCATGAAGTCTCACTTCTTCCGTTCCATTGTAACATATACACTATATTGCCAAAAGTATTGGTCGACCTGCCTTTCCACACACATGAACTTTAAGGGCATCCCAGTCTTAGTCCGTAGGGTTCAATATTGAGTTGGCCCCGCCCTTTGCAGCTATAACAGCTTCAACTCTTCTGGGAAGGCCGTCCACAAGGTTTAGGAGGGTGTCTATGGGAAGGTTGGACCATTCTTCCAGAAGCACATTTGTGAGGTCAGGCATTGATGTCGGGGGAGGAGGCCTGGCTCGCAGTCTACACTCTAATTCATCACAAAGGTGTTCTATGGGGTTGAGGTCAGGACTCTGTGCACACCAGTCAAGTTCCTCCACCCCAAACTGGCTCCTCCATGTTTTTATGGACCTTGCTTTGTACACTGGTGCGCAGTCATGTTGGAACAGGAAGGGACCATCCCCAAACTGTTCCCACAAAGTTGGGAGCAGGAAATTGTCCAAAATGTCTTGGTATGCTGACACTTAAGAGTTCCCTTCACTGGAACTAGGGGGCCAAGCCCAACCCCTGTAAAACAACCCCACACCATAATCCCCCCTCCACCAAACTTTACACTTGGCACAATGCAGTCAGGCAAGTACCGTTCTCCTGGCAACCGCCAAACCCAGACACGTCCATCAGATTGCCAGTCAAGCATGATTGGTCAGTCCAGAGACCACATTTCCACTGCTCTAGAGTCCAGTGGCGGCGTGCTTTACACCACTGCATCCGACGCTTTGCATTGCACTTGGTGATGTAAGGCTTGGATGCAGCTGCTCAGCCATGGAAACCCATTCCATGAAGCTCTCTATGCACTGTTGTTGTGCTAATCTGAAGGCCACACCAAGTTTGGAGGTCTTTAGCTATTGGCTCTGCAGACAGTTGGCAACTTCTGCGCACTGTGCGCGTCAGCATGCGCTGACCCCGCACTGTCATGTTATGTGGCCTACCACTTGGTGGCTGAGTTGCTGTTGTTCCCAGTTGCTTCCACTTTGTTATAATCCCACTAACAGTTGAGCGTGGAATATTTAGTAGGCAGGAAATGTCATGGATGGACTTATTGCACAGGTGACAACCTATCACGGGACCACGCTTGGAGTCACTGAGCTCCTGAGAGCGACCCATTCTTTCACAAATGTTTGTAGAAGCAGTCTCATGCCTAGGTGATGATTTTATACACCTGTGGCCAGGGAGGTGATTGGAACACCTGAATCCAATGATTTCGAGGGCTGGCCCAATACTTTTGGCAATAGAGTGTATACATACCATAGTCTGTAGAGGCCATAACTTTTACACAAGCCAATTAATATACACTTATTGGGATTTTTTTTACCAAAAACATATAGCAGAATACATTTTGGACAAAATTTATGACGAAATGTGATTTTATTGGATATGATATGGATGTTCAAAATTTTTTTTTTTTTTTGTTTATATTGCAGAAAAAATAAAGACCCAGTGATGATAAAATACCGCCAAAAGAAAGATCTATTTGTGTGAGAAAAATGATAAAAATGTCAGTTGCGTACAGTATTGTATGACCGTGCAGTTGCCAGGTAAAGTAGCGCAGTGCTGAATAGCAAAACAATTGGCTCTCTCATAAAGGGGGTAAAATGTTCCGGAGCTCCAGTGGTTAAAGTCAACACACACCTTGCAATCAGATTATTAGGTCCCTGAAAGAAAAAACTAGAAATTGGCCCCATGGGATTGGCAACCCCATCACCCATATGTTTTTTGATGATTGATATTCTTAACAGAGGGCATTGCCCGACAATTAAATTTTTTTTTTTTTTTAAAACGGTGTGGGGTCCCCCCTCCCATATATAACCAAGCCCTTTGGGTCTGGTATGGATTTTGAGGGGAACCCCCATGCCAAAATGTTTTAAAAAATGGCATGGGGGTCCCCCCTAAAATCCATTCCAGACCCTTATCCAAGTATGAAGCCCGGCGGGTCAGGAAGGGGAGGGGGGACAAAGAGCACCCCCCCCAAACCATACCAGGCCACATGCTTTCAACATAGGAGGAGTGCTTTGGGGCAGGAGGGCTTCCCCCCAAAGCACCTTGTCCCCATGTTGATGGGGACAAGGGCCTCTTCCCCCACAACCCTGGCCGGTGGTTGTGGGAGTCTGCAGGCAGTGGGCTTATCAGAATCTGGAGGCCCCCTTTAACAAGGGGGCCACCAGATCCCAGCCCCCCATGTGCAAGAGTATGGGGTACATGGTACTGCTACCCATTCACAAAAAAAAGTACAGTGTAAAAAAAGACAATAACAGTCTTTGACAAGTCCTTTATTAAAAATAACAAATAAAAATATGTCCCCCGAAGTAGATCCAGCATCAATCACGATGCCCGCCGCCACCACCCAACCGAAAAAAGAAAACAAAAAACTGCTCCTCTCTCGACGCTGGCTCCTGCCGTCTGACAGCTGCGCCACGATGACAATTCTTAAATAGGGTGATGACGTTACAAGGGGGCGGGATCACCCCCCACCCTCTTGTGACATTAACATGCCCTGTGATTGGCTAAAGCATTGCATCTGACCTGTGTTTAGTCACAATGCTTTGGCCAATCACAATACACTGTCAGGGCATAGTGCATTGTGGGGCAGGGCCGGCGAAGAGCTTGCCGAATGCCTGTAAAGTTTGTGTGTTCAACAAACACACAAACTTGATATGAATCCTTCCCAGTGTCCAAGCAATAAACTCTCCTTCTTTCCTAATTTCCTCAGGTGTCCATTAACACATCTTCACTCCAATATCTTCATCCCCGCAAAATGCACATAAAACACACATAGTGCATTATCCTTTTACATTCAAACATTTTTTGTGCTAATGAATCACGATCACAAAATGTGCCAAAAATCCGTGCGTGCCAAATCCACCAAGTGTTCACTTCTATCTATCTGAAATTCCTACTTTTATCCTTGAAATACAGTCAGGTCCATATATATTTGGACACAGGCACAATTTTAGTTTTTTTCATGGGTTCCAGACTTCAGGCAGTCATTGCCAGTAGAGATGAGCGAATTATTCAAAAATTCGGTTCGGCTGATTCGCCGAATTCGCCGAATAAATTCGCTTCGAGCCGAATATATTCGCTGCGAATTTAACTTATAAAAAGGGTGTTTCTAGGCTTCAGAGAGCCTTTATATTAGTGCAGAACACTGTACCTTTAATTTAAATGCCCTTGGAGTCTGCTGGGGAAGAGAAATAATACTGTCAGTCAGTATGACATGCAGATGAGTGCCGTCGATCTTAGAATCACCGCACACCTCACTCATTTGGGCAGTCACGGGGCCAAAACCAGAGTGTGGAGCCACAGTGTGGCGGTGGAGGCAGCAGCAATGGGAGGCCATACAGCACCCTATGACAAAATGGAACCCACCAGCAGTGTGAGGAGACCTGAAAGTGGCACATGGCAGAGTGTGGCGATGGAGACAGCAGCAATGGGAGGCCGTACAGGGACCCATGACACACTCTGGACCTGGCAGCAGCATGAGGAGGCGGGTACAGGGGCCCATGACAGATTACGGGCCTGGCAGCAGCATGAGGAGTCGGTACGGGGGCCCATGGCAGATTACGGGCCTGGCAGCAGCATGAGGAGGCGGTACAGGGGCCCATGACAGATTACGGGCCTGGCAGCAGCATGAGGAGTCGGTACGGGGGCCCATGGCAGATTACGGGCCTGGCAGCAGCATGAGGAGGAGGTACAGGGGCCCATGGCAGAGTGGCGGAGCGTAAGCAGCTAAAATTGAAGGCCATACAGAGGCCTATGTTAAAAAGTCCCCCCAGCAGCAGCGTGGGGAGACGACTATCAAGAGTCCAATGGCAGAGT